AAACTTTGTAATAAAAAAAAAATTGTTCATTATCTTAGGAAAACCAAGAATGTTTTCAGCATTTTAGCAGCCACAATATATAATTCATTTTTGTATTTGACCGTACTGGTGAATACTTCAAGTAGTTACATGGTACTTGACTTTTTCAAAACAATTTTAGGGGACCTCCCTATAGTTCAAGGGGTTAAAGCACAGCACTATCCGTAGCCATTGCAGCGGTAGTTTGATCCCCAGCCAAGGAGGTGACCCATGTGGCCCAGCAGACCTCTCCTGTCTTGCCCACTGCTCCCCTCAGGCAGCATATCTCAGTAAATCTTCCTGTCTGCTCCCAGGCTGTCTGGTGAATCCTCTCATTCCGCACATCTTTGGCCTACACCCCAGTTCTTGTACATATAAATAAATAAATCTTAAAAAGAAAACAATTTTATGATTTTGATGAACTCCAAGAGCTAAGTAATCTCTATTCCCATTTCATGAGCACCTTACTAAACACAGACATGTAAAATGTTTTTAGACCACCATATCGTCTCTTTTTAAAGCCATTTAGTTATGTAGACCTTTTTGGTTTATAATGTACCTTTGCCATGCTTTCTAATTTGTTGCTTAATAGCTCAGAGAATTAGACAGGATTGTTCATAAAACGATATTTTACAAATGCATAAGCAAACTCAAATATACCATCTAGTTAGTAGTGCCTACCCAGACACCAAAGTTTGCTGAAACATAGTACAAAGCTATTTTTCCTGCCCCTTTTTGATGTTCTCTCATTCAGGAGCATTGCCCTCTCCTTCCTTCCAGTGTGCCTTAGTTATGAAGAATGGAAAAGTGTCTAATGCAGAGGACACAAGACAACTCAGTGCTTCCCACAAAGATGTTATATGGTTGCACAGTTTATAAATTGGAATCAGTTCCAATATTTAAAACACTGAAAACTTTACCATAAAAACTAAAATATCTCTTAAGAAGTAGAAGACCTGGCAAAAACGACATGCTTGTATGTGCCAAAAGTGATTTGAGCTGAGTAGAGTCTGCCCACTCACCCCAAACCCTGCAACTTGCTTCACCCTCACACTCAGCCTGCTTGATTTATTTTGTTAACTGGTTTTAATCTTTTAAGCATTTGAGTTTATGAACTCCCATGCCCTGTGCTGTTAGTTCACTTTTGACTCTTTTTTCCGTTGTGATTAACATCAGACTGTATAAAAATCACCAAACATTACCACATCTATTCTAGCAGATCATATTGCTGTACTGCCAAATGTATTTTTTCAAGTTTTTAATGCTTTTATAATTGTAAATGACACCATAAGAAATGGTTATATTTTAGAGAATGCATGGTCAAAAGGTAATATGTGGTTATATTGTTTTCACCTAATTCTTGAGCATAAAACACTGGCATATATGACTATACTATTAAATCCATGTACTCATATCTGTGTTCTGTTTTAGATTTTCCA